TCAGATGCTATATATCCCTAAACGCTCCAGGCACATATGCACCTGTGATCCTGTCTGGCTGGAAAGCTAAAAGGGATGGAGATCATGACATGATGAGACCTATGGATGGTGCCTGTTTCTTTCTTTCCCAGTCTCATGGAAGATTAAAATACATATACATTAGCAAAAAAAGTCTAGGGGCAAGGGCTTCTCTGACTGTATTCCCACATCTTACTGGCATACACTTTTCTGAAAAAGTAAATCTAGAACTGAATTCTGGATCTGTTCCTACAGGATCATAGATTGAACTCTCTTACCCCAATGATTTCAAAGCTAAATAGAATAGACAGCTGTCATCCTTAAGCCCCTGTGAGGTTGAGAATTAGTGATACTAAAACCCAAAATCAGGATTAAAATTTTGAGGTAGACCACAATTAGTGTTTCTCAAAAATGAGTCTAGAAAGTATATATTATAAATAAGTGCTAAATAAGGGAGGTGGTACAAAAAAGGGAGGCAGGACTAGGAGATGGCACTGGAACCAGGGAGATACATAATGAAAGCCAAGTTATTAGCTGGCATCGCAGTATGCCTCCTCCTACCCCTTTCCGCTCTGCTCCACAATTACTCTCAATAAGGTGACCTTCCATGGTATCCAGGGCTACTTATCTCCTCTGGCGTTTCTCTTCTTCTCTTTTCTTTCTTCTACAGAAACAGTTCAGGGCTAAAAAAGAAATGTGAAAAGGTTGCAGTAATTAATTAAAAGCTACACATATTGAATATATTGTGTGTGGCAGTTATTAGCTGATGGCATCTTAATTTATAATCCTACATAATTTCCAAAACAACTGCTATGAGGTAGTACTAATTACCCTTATTTTCAAAGTAAGAAAACAAACATAGAGGGTCAAGGATGCAACTCAAATCTACCTTGACAGCAAATGGCAAACTTAGGATTCTGATAAGGTCTAGTGGATTCCTCAGCCTGTGCTTTGTGCCTCTCATAAATTCTTTTTATTTTTTTCCCGAATGAATACTAAAATCTTCACTTATAGGTCAGAGATCTTGGTGAAACAGAAGTTATAGGAACTATCACATGAATTTGAGTTTGTAGAAAAAAGTTTTGATAGAAGGCAGGGAGGGGGTCTAGATTTAGCCACATGATTACCTGTCAAATGATCAGCTTTAGGATTGAAATCTTCAACTGTGTCTAAGAGTATTGAAGGGATAGCTCTTCACCAGCATTTGTTCTGTCTCTCCTAGATCTTCCATCCCTGGTTAAGAAGGAGAGGCGGGATTGCCACACCTACAAGTCACCCCAGGATGGAGACGAGGTTGAGAGTATCTCACTCATAGAAGGGGTCTGTGAGTTGAGTTCTTTTGGGCCTTGTGCCCCAAATAGCCTTAATTAACTCTGCTTGCAGGTGCTAGTAGGTAATATCTTGCTTTACCTGCAAAGGTGGTTCATAAGCAGCTCCCTGGCCACAGGGCCTAACAGGAGATGGGTGAGGCCAACAGGTCTGGTGCTGTAGGGGAAGTAATCAGAGCAGTGAGTGTCTGGGAAGCTTTGCAATGTTCTTAGAAGAAAACAACACTTGCCATTACAACACTGCAAGAAAACTCTTAACACTAAATTCTTAAAATTTAGTGTGATTCACTCACTTTGGAAGGAGCTTGTTAATAGTACAGATTCTAGGTTCTGCTCACACACATGCTGGTTCTCGAAGTGTATAGCTGCCCAGGAGTCCGAAGTTTTGCAAGTACTATAGGTAATTCTTTCAGGTGGGTCTAAGGTCCTCACTCTGAAATACACTGCTTTAACCTCTTACCTGACCACTCAGTCAGCAAGTCTGCATAGAGGAAAACACCTATTTTACAAAGACAGATTGTTTTTCAATATTAATGCTAAGTTCTAGGTTAAGTTGTCACTTTTTAATTTTATTTTTAGTTTGCCAGAGGAGAGAGACAGAGAAAGAAGAAAAATGCAAAGGCGCTCTCCCTGACGGAAGTCACAGGGCAATTCCTTCTCCTCCCTCTCTCCTTCCTGTTGCGATCTTTGGCATGTGCACATGTACCCAGTGTGTTCTCTAAGTCGTCAGGTCTGGGACTTGTACACAAGGTGCGCCATGCGGGATACCTTTGCCTTAACCACCAGGCCACAGGCTGGCCTGAGTGGTCATTTTCAAATAAGGCCTCTAGGCTTTCCAAAAGTTTCTACATTTACAAATGTCAAGGCCTTAGTATTTTCTTACTGTCATCCAACAGGCTACTTACAAGGGCAATCAGGAGTAATGGCATATCTTAATACAGTCCACAGCAGCCCTCTCCTATACATAGCACTTGTCTGGAGTGAAGAGCTTGGCACAACGCTATTTCTATGGTTTAATTTATGTCTGCTATAAACTTGGAGATAATTTTTCTCACTACAGTTTATTTGATTTCAAAAGATATTTTCTTTCATGCAACTGAATTGAAAGGTTTGTTTCACATTATTTTAAAAATGAGTTTAAAAATCAGACAGCACTCAAGTGAAAGTATTGTAGTTATGATTAGGCCATTTAATTAGACATCCCATTACAATACAAACAGCTACTGATTACTTAAGAAACATACCTTTTCAAAGGTTCACATATTTCAAACAAAACTAGATCGTAACATGTATTATGTTAAATCAACCTGGTTATTTTTCTCCTATAGGAACCTTATCAGTTGTCTTTGTCTCTTTCCAAACGTGCTATAACTTTCAGGCTAAAAACTGGAATTAAGCTCACTTTTCCTGCCAGTTCTTTGGTACCTTCTTTCCACTAATGCATGATAATAATTCTCTTTAAAGACAGGCAAACTGGATTTTAAGTATTGTGATCATAACACTGGGTATGCTATTCAGCAAATATTTGTTGAGTGTTTATATTTATGCATTTGTTCACTTACTTATTTTTAAAGTCAACTTTGCTTTAAGCTCTAAGAGAAGAGAAAATTCTCCTCTCCAGGGCAGTATTTGACACCCCACAGGCACTCTAATGAATGGTAAGAAATGGGGACTTCATCATTCAGAGAACAAAATAATTGCTTCTTAACACACTTTTAAGTATATATGCCATGTTTAAGAGCATTTTGGTTACAGAAAATGTCTGATTTCAGTTTTTCATGGGAAAATGTAGGTTAGCATGATAACCATATGTTAATACAATGTTGTTTTCAACACATCCTGTGATAATGATATTTCAATATCACTGCCAGACCAAACCTTTATCATTAATTATTTATCAAAATTATACATGCCACTAACACATCCCAACAAAGATTATGTAAGTGAGCTGTCTTGGCGTCAGTGATACTGAACACAGCAGCTATTTTCAATCCTTCATTAAAATTAGATCAAGATGTACTTGTGTTGGTTCTTGAAAGGAAGATTTACATTTGTTTAAAGCTTCACTTTGGTTATAAATGACATTTTATTTTCCTTGTCAGAAGAGTCTTCTCCACCCCCACTCCTCCCCCCAAAAAAAAGTTTTCAGAGAAAGAAGCTATGCAGAAAACAAAAATGAAAACAGAAACACCTGCCCTGTTTACTCTCTCCCACGCATAATCAATGTCTTGTTCTCCCCCTAAACTGAGTCCAAAAGGCTTCGGAATGGATCCCTGGGGGCACCTGCCACTTCATCCTCAGGCTTGGCTCTCTGTCTCTAGGCTGGCCCCACGTCTCCGAACGGTGCAGAAAAGATTATTCTGCAGAATTGTATAACAAGGGGGGAGTCATTTCTCGGGGAAGAAAACCTTTCAATGTTAGTGTTTTAAAGCATCAAACTTCAAAGTCACTTCTGAGTAGGCTGAGCGATGAATACAGGCGCATGTGAAATATGTGCTGGCCTACCGCTTTACAACTCGTGCACCGCACTGAGGCCCACGGAAAATCTCAGACGAGAGGTGTGTTTTAAACCCTGGAAGACTCCACTGAACGCCGTGCTGCAGCCCGGTGTACTCCACTCGTGGGGAGAGCTAAGGGGTTAAGTCACTTGGCCAAGGTCAAGCGGGGCCAGTTACAGACAGGGCTGGTCTGCGACCTTCTGACCTCTCTACCCCACCCCCACGCCCTCGCACGGGGCCTCGGCAGCCCCAGCCCCCGAGGGTTCCCACGGATACGGTTCACGAGTCAGTGGCATGTCAGCGCCTCTCCGGCTGCCGCGCGTCCATTTGTTCCCCCCGCCTGCCCCCAAAGTACGCAGCGCTCGCTCCACGCCTTCTCGGCCCAGATTCCCCAAACTGCTTGAGCCCCTCGTGCCCAAAGCCCACTCACCCGCAGCCCGGGGCGGAGGAGCCCTCGGACAGATCCGGCCCTCCCCGCGGTCCCCGCCGGCAGCGCCG